TAGATCCTCGATAATGTTTAAAGAAAATTGCTGCATTGTTTCAGTATCTTAGTCCTGAAAAACCTGTACCTCTTCTTCAGGACCCAAAGAAAGTGATTCAAACTATTTAATTGTTCATGAAGAGGAAAAGAACAACAAAAACTTTTCTATATAATTGTACTATCTTGTAATTATTCAAAAATTTGGAAATGATTAGAACTTTGTTTACTCATTATGTGGTAGTTTGTTATTAATAAAATTTTTTATTTGTTGTCACATATTAAAATTAAAATCAATAATGAATAACCTACTATTTAATAAATTTCTTGGGTATGTTCAATGCTTGAAATTTGGCAAGGGGAGTGTATGACGTTTGGCTATTTATTGTTGTGAGGTTTGGCTAATTAATTGAATGTGAGAAAGGAGTTCGGGTTGGTGGGTTTTTTTAAAGATTGTGGGCTTTTCAATGGGCCATCATGTAGAAGAAATGTTCAAGTTGCTGAATTTTTATAGTGTATGAGGTGTTGTTGTCAAGTTAAACAGTTTTAAGGATTTGTCGGCTTAAATAATTATTATTTAATTCAAATTAACTAATTATTATATAAAGAAAGGTGATACTGTAGACATTCTAATCCATTAGGAGGAAAAAAACAAAGAAAATTTTAAATTAATAACAACACCATGTTTTTTTACTAGATTTTCCTACTTTACAAGATATTCTATCTTTTCAATTCACTAAATTTCCTTGTCAATGTCAATACTGAACAAATTACTCTTTTGAAAATTATTTTTCAACCCTGAGATGACATGAAAACGGCTCAAAACCCTATTTACATCTAGCAAGCTTCCTAACATGGCTTCTCACGATGTCGCAATTTATTGTAGGTGTGACCCACAAGACCTTTGTTCCCTATTGCAATGGTTTTGCCCAATTCTATTTCGATTGTCTTATACATTAGAACCCTAAATACCTCCGTTACAAAGTTAAATAAGACTGGAGACAAAAAATACCATGCCTCAAGCCTCTCTTAAATTTGACTTGCCCTGTAGGTGCACCATTCATTAATATTGAAGCAAATGTTAATGAAATAAGAGCCTTCATGCACTCCTGCCAACGGTCACCGAATCCCATCTTCCCATAACTATATCCAAAGAATTCAAATTAGCATTATCATAAGCCACCTATCTTCCCATAACTATATCCAAAGAATTCAAACTAACATTATCATTATTAAGCCTTTTCAACACCTCCACTCTTATGTTTTTTTCTCACAAGATCAGTCAACTTATTTGCAATCAAAGCATAATCTATGATCTGTCTTCCTCTTATAAATGCAAATTGATTACACTCCACTAATTCCCCCGCCACTGGCTTCAATCAGCTGGCCAAGACCTTAACAATAATCGTGCATACACTGGCCACAAGGTTAATCGAGCAATTATCCTTGGTATTGGAGGGGATATCACATTTTGGGATTAATGTGATAAAGGGGTGTGTTGATGCAGTCGTCAACATTACATGAGGAGTTGAAATCCTGCACATACCTTGTGAAGAAGTTTACATTAAACCCATCAGGCCTAGGTGTCATGTTTTGATTTCCTCAAGTTTAACGAGGATGGCTCTGTTAAAGGTAAGTCAAATCCTTCAAGTTGTGGTGGAGTTCTAAGAAACACTAAAGATAAGATCTTTCTTACTTTCTCTAGACCAGTTAGAGTGATTGATTCTAATTTCGCTGAGTTGTATGCTTCTAAAATGGCTGTTTAGATCTTTTGTGATTCATTGTGGTTCGAGAAAAAAATTTAATTATCAATTCATTGTTGTTATCGATCGATGGGTGCTTAATCCATGCAGAAGACCTTGTAAACTTTGCTTAGTCTCTCCACTATCTGTTTCAGTCATTGCCCTTTGCGTACACTCTTTCTAAAAAAATAAATCATGATTAAATAAAAATAACCATAACGCCTTAATTTCCAACCTAGGTTTTAGCAATCTTGTCTTGGCTTTCTTAAAAATTGATGGCTATTAAATATTAATTTTTTGAAAAAA